ACAACTACATGGAAAAGGGATCTCAGTAGACCTATATGTCTAACCCTTATTTTGTGTTTTCAAATATGTATTGCAGGAAATGCAGAGTATAATGATAGTAAGAGAAAAAGGAATATGTGAATTGTTTCCCTATGTGCTTAAGCTATATGAATATCAATGGATGTATTTTGATATTAGATGATATGTAATACAAGATCATGTATTTTGGAATTTTTGGGTTATGTATTTTGTAATATAGTTCTTGTACTTTGGACCTTTGTGGGATTAAACATGTAATCTCTGTATGAATTATATGTTATATGCAATGCGAGTTTGGGGGTGTTACACTCTATCTATGAATGCTGCCGAAGTAACAGAGAGAAACAAGAATCGACAGGGTGAAGAAAAAGTAGTGGAAAAATGAAGGTGGGAGGGGTCTTCAACCAGTTTCCGAAGACCCAAATTCATAAAAACAGATAACCGACCTCTTCAACAACCAACTATTATAGCCTGTCCTCGATGTCAGTAGGTGCACCAGAGAAATTGTCAACCTGAACCAAAGAAGTTTTTTCGATGTGGCGAGTCGAGTTATTTATCAAGGGATTGCCTTGTACCTAAAAGTTGCTTCCAGTGCAATTCCCCAATCATATTCGATCGAATTGTCTACAGTTGAGAGTTCTCTGATTAACCATGGGAGGAAAATCTCCAAGCACCCGTGGAAGGCCCAATGCACCGAGGGGAAGACAGGGTGGGGCGCGGGGCCGATCATTTCAGATGGCAAAAAGTGAGGCTGAAACGACGGCAGATGTGGTAACAGGTACTTTCTTGTTAAATCTATATATGCTAAAGTGCTATTTGATTCCGGTGCGAACTTTTCTTTCGTATCACCATCATTTGCTAATTGTGCATATATGAATTATGTGCCCCTTAACGATACATTAGTGGTTGATACCGCTAATAGTCAAGTATCTGTTGCCTAGGTCTTTCATAATTGTGTAATTAAAGTTGAGGGGTGTGGGCTGCTAATCCGTTTATTTCCTATGCCGATGAAAGAATCTGGCGTTGTGGTGGGAATGGATTGGTTGGTAGAAATTGGACCATTATTTTGTGTAACAAGAAAATGATCAGTATTGATTTGCCAGAGAAAAGGCCGATTGTTATTTATGGTGATCAGAAGGATCACCATACCAATTTGTTATCAGTTTTGAAAGCTCGCAAATGTATTCAGAACAGATGTCAAGGTTATTTGTCTTATGTGATCAATTTGAAGAAAGAAAAAGGTAAGCAAGAGTCAATTCCAGTTGTCTACGACTATCCAGAAGTCTTTCGGAAAGATTTGATTGGTCTATCGCCTGATAGATCTATTGAGTTTAGAATTGATCTAGTACCGGGGCAGCACCAGTGGCTAAAACACCGTATTGGTTAGCACAGTCAGAATTGAAAGAGTTAGTTACTCAGTTGAAGGATCTTCTTGACAAATATTTCATCAGACCGAGTAATTCACCTTGGGGTGCTCCGATACTGTTTGTCAAAAAGAAAGACGGATCGATACGGATGTGCATTGATTATCGGGAATTAAACAAACTAACAATTAAGAATAAGTATCCTCTACCAAGAATCGATAATTTATTTGATCAACTGATGGGAGTCAGTTATTTTTGAAAAATCGATTTGCGGTCGGGATACCATCAGTTAAAAGTTATAGATGAAGATGTTGCTAATACCCTTTCTCTCTATTTCCGCCATATACCAGATCGGTATCACAAATTCTCCCACCGTTCGTTTCTCAGTCAAGGTGTACCCATTACAGAGATATGGTGGAAACCCCGTACTAGATCGGTATCAAAACTCCATACCAGATCGGTATCACGACCGACCACTACACCATCCACCGGTGATTCTCCCACCGGAGGTCCTCCCCCAGCTCTCCACCCTCCCATCTCCGTTCCCGTAGTCGCTCTCCCACCTTTGTTCGATCACCCAAATACCATCTCCAACGTAACAGACACATAGGGACCACCCTTCGCATTCCCCGGATGACCCCCACCCCTTATTGTTCCCCTTCCTCACTTCTAGTACCATCGGGAAATAGGCGGTTCTTGTGGAGAGTAACGAAAGAGCAATAGAGGCGAATCCTACATCATCGAGGGAGGTTTGGTCCTGTTCAGACGTATTGAGGAAACTAATCGAGAGGTGGGCATCAACATTAGAGCTCAAGGTTTGGGGTATTAAAACGCGAGAGTTTACATCTTTTGTTGGCTGGGAGATGTTCTGCTCGTGGCCAGAGCTCAAGTGTGTATGTATGTTTGTATATACATTTGTATATAATTATTTTAGTTAATAAGTAATAATATTATTAATAACTTAATAGGTAAAGGAAAAACAGAAGAACACACAAAAAAAAATAGTAAGAAGACGATCACAACCTTCATTTAACGGAGTTAATGATCATGTACGAGTTTCAACACAAAAAGTAAACAATAGGGATGTTAACTTTAATTATTGAAGTTTAGGGACCACTTTCAATAATTCATATAAATCACAAGGACCAAAAAATGTAGTTTACTTTTATTTATTATTATTATTATTATTATTATTATTATTATTATTAATTACACCTATTCTCATTTCAACATATAGTTTTCATAACCAGACGTCTAACAATTAAAAAAATTCACATTTTAGTATACAAATTCATCAAATTAAGAATATGTGTTTTTGAATGTGATAGTAAAAGAAGCATCGATTCCTAAAAATAGAAAATCAGGTAAAAATATGTATCTTTTTGTATGTTAATATCAATTTTGTCCAAAATAGAAATAAAATCAATCAAGGAACTTATAAAAATATGATGTTATATATTCTAATTGGTTATAACTTATTAAGATTAAACAATGAGATATTTTCCAAAAAGTTAATGTTCAAATTTTCATCAATTTCTATAAATACTTTAATTAAAAGAATTTTTTTTAAGATAATTTAACTAGTAAGGGTCGTTTACTAAATACTTGTTAAGTGAGCGCCTACTCATACCTATCTTACCATTGAGTATTGGAAGGACCAATAATCTTACCAAGTAAGCAGTGGCAGATCCAAAAACTTTGATGACTAGAGGACCTAGGGTATAAAAGTAATCAGAAATCAAATAGCTTACACAAAACAAAACCGTTTCGGGTTACTCGGTTTGCGGATTAAACGGTTCGATTAATCAAATAAGGTAAATTTCGATTTCGCTCATTTTTTTATCATACCAAATAAAAAAGTATACTATTATTTAATTTATATAATTTTCTTCTAGATTAATTGGTTGACATATATAAAACTAAAAGAACAAGAATTTGATATATATTTAACAAAATAATCAACCAACATTATCATTGTAATATGATTACCATAACTAGCGGTAACAATACACGGGAAGAACGTCTCTCAAGCAAGGGAGTGGGAGTTTTGTTAAAACGGACTAGGCCACTGGGGGGAACCGTAAAAAATGATTAGGAGGAACTAAACATATAAGAGTAAAGAAACAAAATTTTATCTGTAATATTTTAAAAAATTTACATTTGAGTATCAAAGTAACCAATTTTATCAAAGTAACCAATTTTATCTGGGCATTCTTATCCAGTAATTGTTACAAAGTTTTAAACGTTTATCAGCAATTCATTTTTTATGGTCACCAATGTTATATGTTAATAAGAATGCCTTCATTTGTTGATAAACACTTAACTGTAAAAGTTTGACAAATGATCCTAAGACTTTAAGTATGTTTTTAAGTGGTCATCAAATCAAGTTTGACCATTAAAAATTTATCTGATTATTAACTTTAGTATTGATAATGCTACTGATATTGATGCTAATCATAACGCCACTGATGTTGATGCTAATCATAACGCCACTGATGTTGATGCTAATCATAATGCTACTTGTGTTAATTCTAAATGACAATTTTGTTCTTATTAATGATTTTTTTTGGAGAAAGTTGATTATGAACAACATATTGAAAATTTTATTTTGAAAAATGTTAGAAGAATGATACTATTTAAGTGAATTGAGGATTTTATATGTTACTGTATTTTACGACATTTTTGTTGTATTAAAATGTAAGGCTTTTAGTATAATATATGACATAAGTTTTTTCAGATTAATTTATCTATACTATATTATAAAATATTTGACAAAAACTTTTTAAAACCATTTTTTATGCATTAAGTACTATTTATTGATACATATTACTTAAAATTTAAGATTACAAATAAATTGTGCATATGTACAACTTATTAAAGCTTCATGTTTGAATTCGTGTAACTAAATGCAGATAAATATAACAAAATACTAGATATGTATCTCATTTTAAATATAAAAAATCTAAAATATATTTATGAAGTTATTGAGTTCTAACAAAATACTAATTATCATGTTTATAAAAAACTATATTATTAAACCAAAAACAAATGATTTCATTGTTAAATTTAAATTAAATTATAATAAAAATTGAATTAAAGAAATTACACACAAAAAAACAAAAATTTTAAATATTTAATTTGATATTAAAATTGATATATTTTTTTTTCAAAAAATTTATTATACGTTCAAATTTATATTTTATTAAAAAAATATTATCGTTTTTTAGTACCACATAAAATCGTATTATTACATCGATAGAAATAATATAAAATAAAACATTAAAATCAAGATTATTTCATTACATTATGCAAATATCATTCTAGTTTATTAATATACATATGATAGGGTCAACAGAAAAGTTGGAACCACCTTATTTAGTAACTTGTAAAATTATTAAAGATGCATGTAAATTGATCTGGAACATTGCCATAATTAAAAGAAAATTAAAAATTATCGCCAATTTTATGTAATTTGCTCTGAAAAATATTTGTCGAAAATGTTGAATGAAATTAGAATATAAAAAGTGGGGGACCTTTTTCGTGTCTAAACGAAAAGGCAAACGTGAGAATATTTAACCAACCAAAGGCGCCGACCACGTGGCACGTTCTCGAACTTGTAATTATTGACCTCCAGAGAGATAGGCCTCCAAGTTTCCCGTTCACCGCCACCGATATCCACGTGTCCAACTGTATTGCTCCCACGTCATCTCCAGACCAGCCGGCAGTGACTAATATTCGCCTCCTTCCGACGAAACCGCAAAGATTAGTTGTACAAAGACGACAAAACCTTCAGCCAGATCAACTTATCACTCTTTCTCTCTGTAAGGTAAGGAGGTTTTCTCTATCTGTTTTTACATCTATATATGTACAGACGAATGATTATGTTGTTCTTGTTACCGGTCAAGCAGGTGAAGAATCTAGATCTGAAATTCTGAGATTTTGAAGCAGAAATGAGGAGTTTGAATTTCTACGAAAGGTTTTCCAGAACGTTCCGTGAAAATCCTTCGCTTTCGAGATTTCTCGTTGTTTTTGCCGTCAGGTACACCGTTTAATTCAGTCTAACTTAGTCAATTTGATTGTTATTGATGCTTTTTTAATATACTGTGATCTAAATTTGATGAAATTTATTGCATGTGTTGTTAGTGGGAGTCTTGGGGCGTTTTTTAGTAAATTAGATCTGGATTGTAGTGAAAAGTGGATACGATCGTTAGTGATTTATGGTTTAATGATTAATGAGCCGATTAGACGTAGATATTTAGAGTGTTAGTCGAGATTTGCTAATATATTGATGATTGTTGCAGGCTTGTTCAATCTTGTGGTGATTTCTTAAGTTGACCTTGATCCCTTTTTATCCGTCGTATCATCAAAAATTATGTTGATTTTGGTTTGATCTTACAGGACCTTTAGTTTATGTTATTTGAAAAACTCTGTTTCAGTTTTGTCATCGAATTGCTTGAAATGCAGTTTTCTCTTTTCTGATCATTGACTGTGAAGTGTTTGCATAAAAATCATGGTATATTTGTGTCTATGGTGGTACGTTACACTGCTATCTACAGTTTTCTCTGAACTACTTATGTCCAATGTTGTCTTCAATCTTAAACATTTCATTTTGCTACATGATCGCTTTGTCTTCTTGGCTCTTGCTACATAAGTCCTAAAATTTTAGGAAAAACATCCATCTGGATATTGTTAGCTTCTCTTTGCTATGTTCGTATGGAGAACATTATTCTTGAATTGGCAAAAAGTTCCATTCATTTTGGTATCTAATCCTGGTGTTCATGTATGCAATAACTACTATTGTTCATAGCTTTTCTTATGAATATATGACATTCATTTAGCTTCTCCACCTTCAGTTATTTATATAATATCTTTGTAGTGGTGGGGGTCTTGTGGCTTATTCTGAGGCAAACGTGCAAACTGTTGGGAAGATTGATGAGTTACCTGAGGCAGGTAATGAGAAAAAGAGGGTGGTGGTTCTTGGAACTGGTTGGGCTGGAACAAGTTTCTTGAAAAATCTGAAGAATCCATCATACGACATCCAGGTGATATCACCTAGGAATTACTTTGCATTCACGCCTTTACTACCAAGTGTAACCGTTGGTACAGTGGAAGCTCGCAGCGTTGTTGAACCGATCCGCAACATTGTCAAGAAGGTATTATCCATGGCTTCTGTCACAAACCATCATTATAAATACAGAACAAAGCTATCCTAAAATTGAGCATTTTTGGTAATTTCGAAGGGCTTTTAGTTCTGTCATACATGTTTGGTGAAGACTTATTTTCCTTAAAGAACACTACACAAGGGTCCAGCTTGACAATTTATCTATCTGTCCTGTATGAGTTTATTTTTCAAAAAACAGAAGTCTGTCCTGTGTGAGTTTCCTTAATATCTTATGTTTTCCTCGTTCGTTTCCTACTTGTGTGGACTGGTTGCAAGTTATAGTTCATAAAAGTTCAGTTACTGACCAATGCCTGTTAATGCTTTAACAGAAGAATGTAAATGTTGATTACTGGGAAGCTGAATGCTACAGGATTGATGCAAAAAATAAGAAAATTTACTGTCGTTCAAGTCAAGATGATAAAGAAGAATTTGTTGTAGATTATGATTACCTAGTAGTTGCAATGGGAGCCCGTGTTAATACGTTCAACACTCCTGGTGTAGAAGAAAACTGCCACTACTTGAAGGTAATTCACTCATCAAATCTTACTGTTTCATATTATAGGTTGGTTTGGCTACGTATTAGATCTTAATGATGTTGAGTAGCTGGTCGAAAACTGATATCCCTCTTATACACAAGGTCAATCACAGACCAATGACCCAAAATGCATGACTATAATCCAGATCCATTGTAGATCAAGCTTAAATATCTGCGTTTTCGGTTCACATGATAAAAAGAGGAAGCAACTTCATTCAATTACATTAAAGTGTCTTGACTATATTCCTAATTATTTCACTAATTTCATTCAGGAAGTCGAAGATGCTCAGAAGATCCGCAGGACAGTAATAGACTGCTTTGAAAAGGCAAGCCTGCCTAATTTGAGTGAAGATGAGAAGAAAAGAGTTCTTCAGTTTGTCGTTGTTGGTGGTGGGCCAACTGGAGTGGAGTTTGCAGCTGAGCTTCATGATTTTGTGTCTGAGGATTTGGTTAAGTTGTACCCATCTGTTAAAAATTTGGTTAAGATAACGCTTCTTGAGGCAACAGACCATATCTTGAACATGTAAGTGTTTGTTAGTGTTTAAAACAACCATTGCAATTTCTCCTGTTTTTACTTGCATCTTCTGAGGTACAAAATCACACATCAAGTTTCTTATCCTCACAGCATATTAGGCTTACAATTTTGAAGGGTCATGCAATTTTAGTTGGTTTGTCTTATTTACTACCTATTGTGTCATGTACATCTTAGGGGCTGTTTGTTTACCTCTTGATGATTACATTCTGACCTTTTAAATCATTTTTTGCACCAAATCATTCAGCATATGCCAAACAGCCCCTTAGGAAACCATAATGAGATTAGTATTTAAAGCAGTTTGACAATGATCATGAGCATCTATGTCTGGATTAGCCTGCAAGGATCTTTGTTATTGTCTATGCTTATGCAGGTAGCTGCTCATGTTGTGCAGGTTTGACAAACGAATCACCACTTTTGCAGAAGAGAAGTTCCACAGAGATGGTATAGATTTGAAAACAGGGGAGATGGTTGTGAAAGTCTCAGAAAAAGAAATTTCAACCAAAGTGATTAAAACTGGGGAGGTCTCTACTATACCCTATGGAATGGCAGTCTGGTCAACGGGTATTGCAACTCGTCCTGTCATAATGGATTTCATGAAGCAGATTGGGCAGGTATTTCCCTCCCCACCATGAATCTAACTTGACCACTGATGAATGCAAGTTTTGTACTGTTAAAATTTTGTGTTTTGACATAAATTTTTCATTGTCATTTTCTGTTCCCAACTCCATTAATATATTGTGAACAAGATTTGTGGTTGTTCCTATATAGGCGAATAGACGCGTATTAGCTACTGATGAATGGCTTCGAGTTGAAGGGACCAACAGCATATATGCACTTGGAGATTGTGCCACAATTAACCAGCGTAAAGTCATGGTGCGCATTACGAGTACACACTTGAAAAGTTCACTGTATTACTCTTCAGCAGGCTAATTGTATATTTGATTGATGTTCATTTGTTACGAAAATTTTTAATTCAAATTTATTGGAGGGTCAAATAATGTTAAGAGTCCCCCCTTTGCTAGACCTAAATATGTTGGTAATTCCATTCTCTCCTCAAAAGGTTTTCCTTCAAAGGAATCTAATGGGGTTTTACATATTTTCGCATGGTAACAGAGCCAACTTTTACCTACACGGACTGGATACTCTTGGGAAATTGTACTCGCTACTCTTCTAACCCCTTCACCCAGCTAGCCTCTTGTCGACACTCTGGGACAATCTATGCCTGTCTAGCCTACGTTGGAGGGGGCATGATAGAGTCCCACATTGGCTAGATTTAGACCATTTCTTCTCAATAGCTATTGGAATCTTCATTCTCTCCTCAAGGGCTCTTTTGGAGAGTAATCTAATGGGGTTCCATTCTTCATACAACAATATGCCAAGGAGTTCTCTTATAACATCTATCTTTCTGGTTCTTAAATTGAATCTCATGTATCCCTTCATCTCCAGGAGGATATTTCAGCTATATTTCAAAAGGCAGACAAGGACAACTCAGGAACACTTACTGTCAAAGAATTCCAAGAAGCACTTGATGACATCTGCGATAGATATCCACAGGTGCAACTTTATCTGAAGAATAAACAGATGAGCAGTCTTGTTGATCTACTCACGGAATCCAAGGGAGATGTTGCAAAAGAATCGATCGAACTGAATGTTGAAGAATTCAAATCAGCTCTATCTCAAGTAGATTCTCAGATGAAGAATCTTCCAGCAACAGCTCAGGTGTAACATCAGACCTCATCAGATTCTGCTCTAAATTCATCAATCATTTTTTAATTCTCATGTGGTTTAATAACGGCTTTGCAGGTTGCAGCTCAGCAAGGTTCATATCTTGCTGATTGTTTCAACCGCATGGAGGAATGCACGAAAAATCCAGAAGGTCCTCTGCGTTTTAGAGAATCGGGCCGTCATAGGTTTCGTCCCTTCAGGTACGTACAATAGTGGTAGATCTACATCATAGAGTGGGTGGTCATGCAACTACTCCATCTTTCCCAAAATAAATGTCCATAATGAAAAAGGCACACAGGTCATAGAAGTGTTCAATCATTACACTTTTAATTAACCAGATCACAGTTTACCCTAGATAATGTAAGAGTATTCGCCCTACTCAATAGTTAAGGGTATAATTGAAAAGTAAAGACCTACTTTCGAAAGTGAACATTTATTTTGGACAAACTAAAAGTAAAACATGGACACTTATTTTGGGATGGAGGGAGTAATAAGAAACAAAATTATTAACACCCCCATCAAACCGATGTCAGTAATATCTTTAGAGAAGTCATCACCCTCACCCTCACCAAGTAGGAATCTTTCGTGGTTGGAGCAGCCATTTAGGTATTGACAACCATCAAAGAGGGAATTATCATCAAATTTGTTATATTTTCTTTTCCGCAAGAAAGAAAATGTCATGATGGAAAGAGAGAATGTAAACTAATCACATTGCATTCTATACAAGAAAAAGTGACGAGTCTTTAAGATGATAGCAGGCCATGGTTGGCAACTCATGCCTTATTTTTTGAGCTTATTGAAAAAGCATTGTTTGGTAAGCCATAATCTCGCTTTCTATAAAGCTACTTCGGGTAGCATTTCAACAAGTTCCGGCTTTTCACTTTTTTTTCTCCAATTATATCCCTTATATTTTATATTAATGATCAACAACTCTATTATTTTACACTATTTTACACTGTCATCTAGCTTATAAACCAACTATCTTTGTCAAGCATAGCCTTGATGGTAACATCCATTTTTCCGAGTCTCTTTATGCTTTATGAAGAGACCATTGAACAACGGTATTTGATTTGACTCTTGAAAAGTCAAAATGATCTAAGAATGCCTAACACCTTATGATTTACGTATAGGTACAAGCATCTTGGTCAATTTGCTCCATTAGGAGGAGAGCAAACAGCTGCACAACTACCAGGAGATTGGGTGTCCATTGGCCACAGCTCTCAGTGGCTTTGGTACTCTGTGTATGCAAGGTAAACCACCCATCCCCATCCCCATCCCCATAATAGAAAAAAATTGACCAATGGTTTGACCTTGTATATATATATATATATTTGTCTGAATGAACATGTACAGCAAGCAAGTGAGTTGGCGTACAAGGTCATTGGTGGTGTCGGACTGGATGCGGCGCTTCATCTTTGGGAGGGACTCGAGTCAAATATGAGGTTGATATCTCTGCATACTAAACCATCCAAATGGTCGCAAAATTTCCACTTATCATAATGCCACGCCCCTCTTCAACAAGTTTTGTTTCTTGATCCATATTTTTACCAAATTCTATCTTTAATTTCATTACAAACTTCTGCTATGAATAATGGGTACAACCATGATACCTTCCCCGGCTTTACTTTACACCTAGTTTTACCTGAGCCCTAGAATGTGTGCTTAGACGTTCCTTTGTATTGTACCATATAATCAATACTATTTTGATCGATTATCCTCCATCAGTTATACTTGGACCAATTCTTCGTCCTATATGTTGGAACCCTTCTCTCTCCCCTTAGAGACTGTTTTGTACACTAATCTATTGGAGTTTCACGAAATAAATTGTGATCGAGATTTCATTATGTTATAAATCTATAAACTTATATCTATCTATCTATATATATGTATGTATCCATATGTTATCGTGAGAAGTGGTAAATATTTGAGAAGTAAATAAGTAATTCTAACTCTTCGTTCGATCAAAATCGGATTTGACCGGTCAAAAATTGCGGCTTTGATTGGTTAAAATTTATGGTTATGTGAAAAATAAAGGAGTGGTTTTGTAACTTTTACAGATGGTGTAAAACGGGTTTATATGTGAACCCGTGTCATTTACATATAAAATATTTTAACTAATTCTTATATGAACTGTGTGATTCACGCATCAATTGATTAACTCATTCACATATGAACTCGTGGGTTCATATGTGAATCAGTTAAATAGTTCACAAGTGAACTAATTAACAGGTTCACAATTGAACAAATAGTTCGTTTGCGAATATACAACTTTGCCGTCTATTTGTAAAAGTTATGAAACTACTCTTCTATCTTTTGCATACCTATGCGAAAAATTATCTCATTTCAAAGCCGTAAATGTTGACCAGATGAATAGTTAAGATCACTTCTTTATTTCTCAAATAATTATGACTTCTCAAATAAATCTTTCTATATATATATATATATAGAGAGAGAGAGAGAGAGAGGGGGGGGGGGTATATTTCAAATGCAACAATGTCCATTTGTACAACCAATGCAACCCAATTAATTGAGATATTATGGAAATGATGAGAGTTCATTTATTATGATTTAAATATTTATGGAAGATGACTAGAATTCATTAATCATGATCAATACTTTATATTAGGAAACAATCAAAACTTTTATAAAATCACATATTTATCAAATTAAATGGACGGTTGAGATTGAATTGTATTGATTGTACAAATGTAAATACTTGCATAATAACTCACCTCCCCCCTCTCTTTCTCTCTCTCTCTCTCTCTATATATATATATATTATATATGTATTTATATGTATATATATATACACACACTAGAAGAGTACTCGCACAATGCAGCGAGATACATCTCGATTTTAATGTTTTATTTTTTTTTTTGTTTTAGTTGATGTTATAATATTGTTTTATGTGGTTTTGAGAAAAAGAAAATATTTTTATTTTTGAATAAAATATTAATATAAAGATATATTATACAAAATTAAAAAAAAAAATTATCGATATTAGTATCAAACTAACTATTTAAAATTTCTCAATTTTTTTATTTCTTTTAAATTTTTTTAATTTTTGGTTTAATAATATAATTTTCTATAAAGATAATAATTAAATAGTTTGTTAGAACTCAGTGATTATCTTAATTATATTTTAGATTTTTTTTATATTTAAAATGAGATATTTATCCTCTATTTGATTATGTTTATCTGTAGTTAGCTATATGAATTTAAATATGAAGCTTTAATAAGTTGTACTTATGCATAATTTAAAGTAATATGTATCAATACATAGTACTTCATGTTTAAAAAATGATTTTTAACAGTTTTTGTCAAATACTTTATGATATAGTATAAATATACACATTTGTGAATGGTATGTCTTTAGTTATCCTCAAGTATTTAAATATTTACCATTAGGACGTTTCATTTTTAGAAAATGTTCAATTAATTTTGCATAAGCTAATTTGAACCCGAAAGTAATAGATGATGTATGGCGCCATAACGCTAGGCAATAGAGGTCGACACTGATAGGCGGTTGTTGCCACGATCATAATAGTTACACGTGACTGTTCACTGATGTTGCTGATGCTAACGCCAGTTGTTAATAACTAAATGTAACTATCGATAATTCTCTATCTCTAAAAAATGTTTTCATTCTCTTTATATAGGAACATATATGACAAGATCTCTGTAATTTTACACACTATTTTTTTGCCTATGAATAAAGTGCGATTTAGGGGTTGTTTAGGTCACTTATCTTACTTTATGAACATAGTATGAATAAAATCTTACCCAAGAAGAGCGATAGTGATGACTGTGTTATTCGGTAAGTGACCAGATAAAATGTTACATACAATGCCTTTTTAATGGACTAGAATTTTACTTGATAAAGTAAGTGGAAATTGTTGATTCTTACGGGTGAGGACACTTATAGGGTAAGTGTTTGGGGTAAACTTCGCGTTACCCAAAGCTTTTATAGGGTCAAAATATTACTTTGGAAAGTGATTATACAAGATCAACTTTATAAGGCTTTTATAGGTTAAGGTAAGTGTTTGGGGTAAACTTCGCGTTACCCAAGGCTTTTATAGGGTCAAAATATTACTTTGGAAAGTGATTATACAAGATCAACTTTATAAGGCTTTTATAGGATAGGGTAAGTGTTTGGGGTAAATTTCGCGTTACCCAAGGTTTTATAAGACTTTTATAGGGTCAAAATATTACTTTGGAAAGTGATTATACAAGATCAACTTTATAAGACTTTTATAGGGTTGGGTAAGTGTTTGGGGTAAATTTTGCATTACCCAAGGCTTTAATAAGGTTTTTATAGGATCAAAATATTACTTTGGAAAGTGATTATACAAGATCAACTTTATAAGACTTTTATAGGGTAGGGTAAGTGTTTGGGGTAAACTTTGCGTTACCCAAGGCTTTAATAAGACTTTTATAGGGTCAAAATATTACTTTGCAAAGTGATTATACAAGATCAACTTTATAAGACTTTTATAGGTTAGGGTAAGTGTTTGGGGTAAACTTCGCGTTACTCAAGGCTTTTATAAGACTTTTGTATGGTCAAAATATTACTTTGGAAAGTGATTATACAAGATCAACTTTATAAGGCTTTTATAGGGTCAAAATATTACTTTGGAAAGGGATTATACAAGATCTGAAAGTTGATCCGTGTTTAATTCCTTTCCTTCATAACCCAAACTCGATCATTTAACTAGGGTTGGTCGTGGTCCGGTTTGGGCGATTTATAAATTGAAGAACAAAAGTAATCTCACAAGAATTTGCGTATAGTATAAGTCGACTCCTTCAGGTAATTTGAACCTGAGGCGGAGGCCTCCTTATATACGCCTAGGTCTAACAAACTAAGCTATAAAAAAGGCGTGGAACTCTGAGCTGACTAGTCTGCGTCCTTATCTTTGACTTCCCTTGAATAGCGGAGCAGACTTGGTCAAGCCGCCTCAAATCTGTTAGACGCTTTGCGAGAATGTCTGGGCTAACACGCGCTTTCCATGAAGAGGGTAGCCAGAAGCTCTGCATGAGCATACAGAAGCTCTACATGTACTATGCAGAAGCTCTGTATATGCAGAGACTCTGCAAGTATATGCAGAGGCTCTGGGTCTTGGAGTTGTTGCTTTAAGTCAAGCGCTTATGCTTTTTGGCGCACAAGACTTGAACGTTCACGGAGATGGAGCGCGGGCTCTGTATGAAAAAAACCTTCACTCTGAGTAAGAGCTCTGGTCCTTGATCCTCTGTATGAGAGCTCTTAGCCAGACAACTTCTATAGACTAAGTTCTATTTGACTAGAGCAAGATACTTCTTACTTACACTTTCACAAGTTGGAGTCTAACAATCTCCCCCAAAGTATAAATAAGAAGAACTCTTACTTGATTTACAAAACAAAAGTCTAATCAAAGACAGAGGTTAAAAGGAACCTCTGGTTTACATTAACTATCTAGTGAAGTACAATACGAATGGAAAATGGAAATTACATCGATCTAAAAACATAAAAGTACTTACAAAAGATAGAAGGTCTAAGCTCTTTGAAGTTTAATGAACTTCCTACGAAGTTCATGAAACTCAAGCATGTTTCGTATCGACCTTAGAATAATCTTGGCTCGCTCCTTGGCTCCAGGGGAGTTATTTCTGCCCTTGACTAGATTGTCTCGTATGTAGCGCAGAGTAGAGTTGGAGTACTTATAATTCTGGTTGTCTCGAAAGAATATCTTCTGTTTATGCTCGTTTCGAAACACCACTCCCACTTCTGGTTCCACCAAAACAGTCCAGGAGGGGATGTTGTTGATGCCGTGTAATTCTTCATTTGGAGCAGCCACTGTTAGTTGATCCACTCCTAGATCCAGAGCTAGTTGGAAGTTTAACTTGCTTCTGAAGTCGAGCAGATCTATCATTGTTTGGCGAATAGTAGAGTTGGCAACAACGAACTTCACTCCCTTTGTCCTTCTTGTGATCTGTAAAGTAGAACAGATGAAGAAGATCCCACGGATTTTGATTAATGAGGTCACAGTTTGTGAACCTACATATTCGTCCGTGAGTCCTCTCCACTGTGTACTCGTAGAACACTATCTGATTATGTGCAAAGGTGTGCTTCTTTATGTCTAAGACTTGTTTTATTCCATCAGCAAAGTGGACTGCAGTGATTGGTTGAGTATAGCGATCGAGGAATCTCTGCCTGATGTGCTCTTGAACCATAGGATGGAGACTGATCTTTTGGACCAGTGTCTCTTCTCTTAGATTGTAGAGGAACTGGTAGATCTCCTCGCTATCTGCCTTCTCCATGATGGGTTTGTCAAGGGGTGTTGGTGTGAACATGGCATCCATACTTGCTTTGATCCTTTGGACACGATCAGAAGGATGCTTCCATTTTTGCCTGCTGGTTGTGCCTTCTGAGTCTGCTATGTTTGGATTGACAGGTACTTGCCTCATCGCAGGAGTGACCACCCTGGTCCCTTGAGCAGGGACCCTAGCTCTGTGGGTTTTTGGATGTGGTGGAGGAGCAACAACAGTTACTTCTTCTAGAGGTATGGCAACCAGAATGTGCATGGATCAACTACATTCACAGCGACCACCTCTTCTTCTTGTTGTGCTGTTGTTGAAGGAGCAGCCATGTCCATGGCGTACTCAGTTGAAGAGGACAGAGCCAGGTCTCAATCGTCTGATCCATAGGCAGATAGAACCAGAGTACTATATGTAGAAGAGAACTACATA